CCCCCCCACACACACACATATACATGTATATATACTCTAACCCACACACACACACACATATACATGTATATATATACACTAACCCACACACACACACATGCACGCGAGTGCGAGGGCACTGCCGGACTCTCCTCTCCGCGTGAAAGCCTTTGGCAACTTTAACGAACCTCCTCTTTCTTACCCCACCCGCGACAGAACGTGTTCCCTTTCCGTTTTCTCTCTGTCTTGTCCCTTTATTCTTCCTCTCTCTGACACTCTCTCACCCCTCTTTCTAGCAGCAGAACTGCCACAGGCATATCCACTGCTCCTGCTAATCAAGAAACGGTTTATTAAAGTAAAGAGGCTGATGATAAGTCGTGGAATTGGCCACTTATCAAGGGCATAGACGGGCTTCCATTTCCCCCTACGGTGTAAAGACTGCTACAAGGGACAGGTCAGCGGTCTAGCATGGCACAGGAATGAAAAAAAAAGAAAGAATGAAAAAAGCCACCCTAATATTTATTGGGGGAGATAGGGAGGAACGGATTTGTGTACGGTGTAGTAGTAATCTATTTCCTGCGAGTTAGTTGTGACCTATTTTTGATGTAGTAGATTTTCTTTTCCAGTGATTTTGTTCCTTGCTCTCTCTCTCTCTCTCTCTCTCTCTCTCTCTCTCTCTCTCTCTCTCTCTCTGTCTGGCTTATCATTACAATTTCTTAATCTTCAATGCAGTCATTCATTTGTTGTTTTTTATCGAAATGACTGATGAGAACAATGTTCGGAATGATGATGATGATGATGATGATGATGATGATGATGATGATGATGATGATGGTGATATATTTACCAATTTGTTTTTATTTTGATTCAACACAGATTACATTTACTTAATACTACATTTATGGGTGAATTTACCTATAAGCGTTGATAAAAGGCACCAAAATATGTAAATTTAAAGTTTCCGATTACACCCAACCTTTGAAAGTCACATAATTATGGCGGTCATTTTCTGGCTTATTTTACTCCTGATACCCGGTGTCCCCCACCTCCAGCAACGACAGCAATCACGGCATCGGGGTATTTAAAAAAAATCAAAAGCAAGAGACAAATGACAATTGAACAACCTTTAAGATGATAACAATAACGCTATGCTCGAAATGATTCCATTGCGTTGTGGCACATATTCCGCTTGACGTCTCATAAGTCAATTCAGAAATACTCTTTCTTCCTTTTATAAAAACTAACCTTGACTAGTCAGTTCACACTCTTTTCTCCTACCCCCGAATCATAAAAGTTCACAAAATCCCCATATTTTTCCTTTTCTCTTGCTCTTTCATTTCCGCCTGTGAGAAAAAAAAAGTTACTAGGCCAGGCAGCGCGCGGTTTTCCCACGGACATAATTGGATTCATTCCACTGACCAAATTCTAGAGAGCTAATACAATGTCATTCCTTATTCTTGTTCTTTTTTTCTCTGAGGCTAAGAAAAACTGTGAGGCCAAGACTTCTCGCCTCTTACAGTACTTTTCTATACCTGGTAAACCGGGGTGACTATGACCACATGGGCTGACATTGGTCATTTATCAAGAAAACACTGTGTTCCTGTTTTAGGACACCTCAGTAACATTTAAGATTATTTTGATTCATTTGTTTGTTTGCTTTTTTTACAATTAAAAATCATCACTATGTTAAGAAATACTCGTTAACCCAAAATAGTTCTGCCGAGGCAGTTTGTGCTGTTTCAATGATAACATTTTAGGGCAGAGAATTCATGGGCCACACAAACTTAACATGTGAGCAAAAATTCACGATCCAATTCATGTTTTAACTGCGTACCATAGATGTACACTATAAGCACTAGATACAGTACGCCCCTTTCTCGCCTTGCTGCGCGATGGCGGTCATGTTTCAGTTGGCGAGCTGTGTGGAGGAATTCAAGCTAAAGCAATGGGCAAGGCATGTTTTCTCTCTCCCCCATACGCGATAGGTGAGGCTTGTTAATTTATTTTTACATGGTCGCCGTGACGTACTATCTAGGTTACTAAATAGCAATAATACAGCGTTCTTTCTACAACTAGATCTACAAAAAGGTTTAAAAGGAGAAAACTCTTTGCTGCGTACCATTGAGACAGTTGCTTTGTTGTATTGCTTGATGCATAAGCGGCCAATGAGCGTGTTGTGTTTTTTAAATCGAGCCAAACCAATAACAAGAACACATTGTGGATGGAGACAAATGAAAGCAACTCACGACAATACTCAGGTTTGTTTTTTACACGTGGTGTTACATTTTCGCGTTATTTATGCCGGTCAGTATATATTTCACATAGAGGTACATATAAATTTATATTATTCTTTTCCCACTTTCTAAAACTCTCTTTTTTGATCAGTGTAAAAGTGAAATTGACACCATAACGGCCATTCTCAATATTTCGGTAGTAATACTGCATAATGTATCGTTTATGGATCCCGGTACTTTTTCTTTTCAAAGAGCTAAGAGTTGGTGAACGTTGCATTGCTAAATAACTGATTGGCGTTTGACTAAGCAGTATGCATGAAACACCTTTGCCTGTGCCGTAGACATATTATGGCAATGTAGCGGAAGTAGATTGTTCAAGAACTACTGACTTAATTTAAGACCAAGCTTTCCTTGATATTTATTGTTATTCTCAAAAGGAGAGGCATGGTCAAAGAAAAACAAAGAAGCATAAGAGAAAATTCGACATGCAAGCACGGATCGAGTTTGAAACTGGTACCTTTGGAATGAAAGGCGAACGTTGTAGGCCTACATAATATAGGCTACATTTTCCTGACAACAGAACTGCTGGTTAGGTTCATCATCTGTAATTCAGGAAGCCATTCATATCAAGAAACGTTGCGCGGGAGTACTTCCAGGAAGCATACTCTTGCCATTATGCAATTGTATGGTGGGCATGTTTACATATTCTGTTCGTCCCGTTTTGTTGTAAAGCGGTTCGAAGTTTATGATTTAAGATCATGCAGTAAGGAATTGCCCATTTTCTACTCTCTGACAGCATGCAGTCGTGGGTATTGTTTAGCTCGGTCTTCACTCACAAAATCTCTAAAAAATGTGGCGTGGTGATAATACTGTAATGTAGACTCTTGGTATGCACGAGGTAGTGAAAATCATGTAGGCCTACCTAACGAGTACACCAAACATAAATTGGAAAAAATAATGTCATAATATCATGCACTTCGTACACAAGACACAAACCGTAGGCGTGCAATTGTGGGCAAGGGTAATGGTCAAAGATTGTTAATATTGTTCAGTACATTCTTTGTAATAGTTTTGAGAGGTAAAGTAATTATTTGTAAGTTTCACACGTCTACCCCGATCCCCTTACAAAACTCGACCCACTCGATCCATTCTCTCCTCAAAGCCCTTCTCACTCATTGTCTGTTGGTCTATCTCTCGTGTCTGTGTCGCTATGTCATATTCTCTTTTTCATTCTCTCTCTCTCTCTCTCTCTCTCTCTCTCTC